CTAGGCTAATGTGAAAAAGCAACAACAAAAAAAAAAAAAAAACTACAAAAAAAACTCCCTCAAATACATGTAATTTTTAAAAATTGTGCTCAACTTTCTATTGACATTGTGAACTTACGGCTGGGTTGTACAACAGAGTGTATGTGACATGCCAGTTAAACCTCGCTGCGACGTTCACAGGACGAACTTTGACCTCACCGTCACTAGCTCCTGTAAGAGGGTTAAATATTTGAGAATAATAACAATTATCATTATTATTATTATTATTACTTCTATTAGTATTAATTATTTTATCCTAAATAATAAATTTACCATCATACAGTTATTTTCATTACTTTTTCTGTTAGGCTATCATTAATAATAATATTATAATTATCATCATTGATGATAACATTATCACTATGATTATAATCATAATCATTAATGTAATTATTACTACAATAACACTATTTGTTCTTATCAAGGTTATTATATCATCATTAATAGGCTATTATTATAAAAAGTATCAACAGTGTTATTACCATCACTATTGAGATTATGATTATCAGTGCATACAGCTCACCTTTCAGACTACCGTCATATGTGTGGTTGGTGACCCCGTTGACCCCAACTTTGTCCACGTCCACAGCTGTGCTCGAACTCTTCTGTTTCATCCTCTCGTTCTTCAGCGCCATCAGGAGACGGATGAAGACGTTGACCACGGGGTGGGTGTGAGCCGCTTCCATGTGGATGAACCCCTGGTAGGCCTTAAAGCCTGGGGAGATAAGTGTGAGGCATCATGGTGAAGTCAGGCGCTCGTCAAAAATAACGAAATCGAAGATATCGCCGTTTTTCTTCCAGTGTGACAATTTTTTCTTGAATTAAAAAAAAAAAATTTTTTTTGGGGGGGGGGGGTCAACACCTTTTATGTCTATTTAAAAATATATTATGTGAGGCAATGTGGTGAAATCAAGCGCTCGTCAAAATAATGAAATCAAAGATATCGGCATTTTTCCTCCTGTTTTCAAATTTCTTTTTTCTTTTTTTTCTTTTTTTGGCTCATCACCTTTTATGTCCATATAAAAATACATTTCTTGGGCGACACTTAATAATATTGATAATCATAACTATAGCAATAATAATAAAAATAATAATAACAACAACAATAAGAAGAATAATAACACCAAAATTAATTCACCTGGATCAAAAAACTCAAACTTTCTAGGGAGCGTGCTGTTATCCAGGCGAGCCAGGAAAATGGTTCCCACACCGATGGCTTTCAGAATACGCAAAAGACATGAGACGAGACCCATGAAGATGTTGAAGAAGAACATGAAGTATGTGAAGATGAAGAAAAAGCGTCTGCGGAAAAGGAAAGGAATTTTATAATAATAATAATGATGATCATAATAATAATAATAATAATAGGTGTAAACTATATTATTGTCTATCTGTAGGCCTAAAGTATGCTTTAATAATAATAATTGCATTTATATAACGCATATCCATGCTCAAGAGCATGCTCTATGCGCTTTACAACTATTATTACCCCAGCAGACCCTCTGAGAACACTCAGAAACATTCTTGGCTTCCGCGGAAGCATACAGTGCAAGCTGCGGATTTCACACGCTCAAACACTATCAAACTGACAAGATCGTTCACTGTCTATAGCCGGGTACCCATTTCCACCTGGGTGAAGTGAGGAAAATTTGTGCAATGTGCCTTTCCCAAGGACACAACGTCAAGCCCCTGAAGGGATTCGAACCCTCGACCTTACGGTTGCGAGTCCGAGAGCCTAACCATTAGGCCACCGATGACACCAATGTTTTTTCAAGTCCCTAAAAACACACCAACAGATGGTTTTTCAATCCAAAATGAACTATTTCTTACTTTTGACAGAACCTGTGGCACATGATCAACCATCAAAATGATCAGCAAAACAAAAAAAAAAGATAAGATATTATGAGAGATTGCAATATCATACGCAGAACTCTCACTCAACAGAAAGCTCTATGAACTTTACGATCTTTTGACCTAAATTATTACCCCATCAGACCAGAAAAACTTTTCAAAGCAATCTTAACTTCAGTGCAGGCCGCTGTCATTTTTGGGTGCTGAAACACTAACATAGGCCTACTAAGATGATAAAAAGATGACTGTGTCTATTCAAACTCGCGTTCGTATAAGCTTCCATATATATGGACACGTGTGTCCTTCTACCCTAGCATGAATGCGAGTAGGCCTACCGTACTTTGTGGGTCTTTTTCTTTTGAGAATAACATGCTTCTCATTCTTTTTGGAAGAATGCATTTTTTAAGTTTGCCTAAAATTGCATTTTATTGTTCTGTTTATAGAATGATGAAAGCCAATCGTGATTGTTTCGTTTCTTCGCATAAATCGACATGCAATGTATGTTTTAAAAAAGGGAAAATTGTTCTTTAGAAGGATATTGTCCGTGTCCGAATAGACACTTTGTAAAAAAATATCTACGACGGCAGTGGTCAAACCTGTTGTCCAGTCTGAGCCATTGGCCGCGGTCCTGCAGAAAGATAAACTTTGCCAGCAGTTTCTGCACGATAAGCAGCACTAGCGTGATCAGCAAACTGGGCCTGAGGAGGGTAAAAATAAAAACAAAAAATCGAGCTAAAAACAGTAGATTGATTAAATTATTTAAAAGTTATTTCTTAATTTGTCTGTATAAACACATCAAAATTGGGATTTGTTAACCCCCAAAACATTTTTAAAACAATACATTCATTTATTATTTAACAGTTAATACATTTTTTAGATTTACATTTATTAAAATACCAAGATCTGCTTTTATTTATTTATTTATTCTTTATTTATAGATTATTTAAATATAAAAAATCATTATTTTTCTTTAATGGTTTTAACTTTGACAGTATTTTTTTGCTTTCTTATGCTGTAATTTCTTCTTTTTTTTTTTTCTTTTGTTTATAGGCCTACAAATAGGGTATAGGCATATATTATATATATACACATGTATATATACATATATACATATTTGTTTGTTTTAGCAGGCTAAATGTTTACGGCATTTGCAACACAATAAGGTCATATGAGTGCTGTAAATATACATATATATTAAGGTTATAAATTTATACTAGATTATATTATGGTGATTTATAGGAGAACCACAAAGCTCACCAGACTTGAAGAAGTTTGTTCACAAGCCAGTCTGTGACTCCATTGATGATAAGGACGATAAGGCCAGCCAGTATGATACAGAGGATGAAAAGGATCAGAACTGAGATGATGAAAGCTGAAAAGAAAAAAAGAATATTTCAATAAATGTTTTGTTTCAGGGATTCAATTTGCAAGAAAATCAAAATGGCTGCCACAGTTTGGAGACTTAAAATGCTTGAGAGTCCTTGAAAGCTGAAAATTCTTTGGGCTTTTAATCAACGTTTCTCAGTAAAATCCACATAGAAATTATTAAGTTTTAAAATGGACATAAAAGACATTGACAGCAAAAAATACAAATTTTATAAAAATTGCCAAACTGGAAATAAAAAATACTGTTTTCTTCATATTTCATTATTTTAGCAAACACCTGATTCCACGACGATGCTTGACATAAATATACAGCTTGATTTTATCACCCATCGTGGGCATTATTGAGGGATTTTTTCAGTGAGAGCGAGAGTGTTACCGCACTTGCAGCACAATAAGATCGTAAGTGTGCCAAGAATTTGAAGTTTTTAAAGAGAGTAATCACCACAAAAAAGAAGGAGGAGATATACAGACAATAGATGTTTGAAAAGAAATAAGAAGAAAACCACACTACAACACCTGCCAACCACCCGTTGTCTATCCGCAAAGATGCAGATAGGAAAAGAAGTGAAGGAATGAAGAGCTGTGGGAAAGGACGGGACAGGACAAACGGATATAGAAGCAGAAATTGGACTAAGAAAGTGGCGATGGATGAGACACACCCACAGAAAACCCAGCGGAAACATCACAAGAGAGTCTCTGAGGTGGAATCCAAAGGGAACACGAGGCTGGGGTAGGCCACGGTAAACATGGAGGAGATGTGTGGAAAAGGACATGAGAGAGATGAAGCTCACTTGGAACGAGTTTTGAAGGATGGCCAAGGACAGAGATAAACGGAAGGAGCTTGTATGTGGCCTATACCCTGCCAGGGGTGGAAGGCATTAATGATGAAAGATGCAGATGCCATACTATGATGTACCAGTAGGCCTACTATACTACATGTAAATTGTTCAAAATACTCACCCCATACAATATATGCCACTTGGAAGCCAGCATATTTAATACTACCAATCTGAAATAGACAGAAAATCAGAAATATTAAATGCAAGGTACCGTGGTGAAATCAGGCGCTTGTAAAAATAATGAAATCGAAGAAACTGGCATTTTTTTCTTACCAGTTTGGCAATTCTTATGGAAGTTTTGTTTTTTAACTCAACAACTTTAATTGCCATTTAAAAACATATTTGTGTGAGGGGACCAAAAAAATTAACAATTTCAGTTCTCAAGAACTATCAAACGATGTAGATCTAAGTCACCAAACATTGGGGGCAGTTTTTTTTCTAAATTTTATCTCCTAAACCAGGTTACTCTCACTTGCTTCACTTGCAATATCTTGACATCTATTCCTGGTAGTTGGGCAATTTTATAATCGAAACCAAGATAAATGAACAAGCTTTAAGACAATGTTAATAACTCCAAATTCCCAAAAACTTGACGAGCGCCTGATTCTACTGTGTCATGACACAAACCATGAGAGGTCAATATGTAGAATAATGAGTTGGTACAGATGTTCTACACCCACTCTTATTATTGTTACAAATAAGATGACCTAGATTCTCTATAGCTTGTTCACTTTCGTCTGACCGTGTTTAAAACAAGATAAAATGAAATTGCTCGGTTTAAACTTCTCAGATCTTTGCATGAGGCATGGGTTTAAAAGTAAGATGACCAACAGAATCTAAAAACCCATTCGTAAAAGTCACTGCAAACTAAGGTTCCTACACATTTTCTTTGATGTGAGCCTAAAATGGGTAACAAAAAAAATAATAGGGTATTTACAGTATACACCTAAAACATTTAAAAGTTGACATATTTTCTTTTACACCACACTCTGACATACACCGAAAATATGTCACTATGCACGATCTCACATGGTAAATCTTATTAAATTTTATTTTTTAAAATGTTAATTAATGTCTCTGGTATTCGCCTTTAAAGTAAAGGCAACATGAAGTGCAAATGTGAGGCAGCGTGGTGGAATCGGGCTCTCGTCAAAATAATCAAAGTGAAGAAACTTGCATTTGTCCGCAGGTTTATGAATTTTTATCAAATTATGTTTGTTTTTTGGCACAACACCTTTCATGCCTAATAAAGAACTCATATCTGTGGACATTTTTCTGAAAAACGTTTATTAAAGGCACAAAAAATGTAAATTTACAGTTACCACGGACTCTTAAGCTAAGGAATTAACTAATCTTTGGCGGCCATTTTCTCACTAATTTTACCTCTGAAAACAGGTGACCTCCACCTCCTTCTTTTTGCAAATATCTCAACTTATATTTAAGATAAATGGATATTTTTTTCATCCAAATAAAGACACGTGAACAAGCTTTAAGATGATACCAATAACTCTACGTGCCCAAAAATTGACGAGAGCCTGATTCCACCACGCTGCCTCACAAATACTTTGGAGTGCACAATCCAGAACTTCCCCCATTGTGTCCCTTGTGTGACTATGCATACGAGACTGTGGATCACCACAATTTCCACTGCACATCCTTAAATGACATCAGAGCTACATTTCTCTCTCCAAGAACTAACATTGACAACACACTCTATGGAATATTCATTAACTGCAGCAAACCTGCACTTATCACAACATGACATTGGACAGAAGGGTGAGAGCCCAGCTGTTGCTGGATCCATAACTGTCCCTGTGGTTTGATGCACCCCGCATAATTTAGCAAAATTTGATAATTTTTTGCATAATTTTTGATTATTTTCCTTTATCATTCTTTGTTAAAATCGCATAATTTCAAATTTTTGGCTCAGTTTGCCTAATTTAAGAATTTATCTTGCATAAAATGACTGGAACAGATCCATAACAACAAATAAACGGCAACAACAAAGTGCATAATAATCTTGGATATTGTTATCAATAATGCAAATATTCTTAACCTCTGTTACTTACACATAACGTAACTCCGCTATTCTCATATGGAGAGGGAATATTCCGGTAGTCTCCCCTATACATAGCATACAGGTTGGTCCTGGGAAATCCGTTTGTAGAAAAGGAATGAATGAGTTTGTGAATAGGTTAATCAACAAAAGATGAATGAATGAATGAGTGAATGAAGAATTAATGAACAAATGAATGAATGAATGAATAAATGAATGAATGAATGAATGAATGAATGAATGAATGAATGAATGAATGAATGATGGAACCTTGGCTTGACCGATCTCTGGTGAGAAAGTTTGCATGGTCAGGTTCATGGATTCAGAACAAGTTCAATAGTGTATTATCTGTCTGTGTTTCTGTCTGTCTGTCTGTCTGTCTGTCTGTCTGTCTGTCTGTCTGTCTGTCTGTCTGTCT